ATGAGTCAGCTCTTTGCATGAGGTGGCCAAAGTATCGGAGTTTCAGCTTCATCATCAGTCCTTCCAATGAACACCCAGGACTGATCTCCTTTAGATGGATCTCCTTGCAGTCCAAGGGACTCTCAAGAGTCTTCTCCAACACCACAGCTCAAAAGCATCAATTCTTTGGCGCTCATCTTTCTTCACAGTCCAACTCTCACATCTATACATGACCACTGGAAAACCATAGCCTTGACTGATGGACTTTTGTTGGCAAAGTAATATCTCTGCTTCTTAATATGTTGTCTAGGTTGGTCATAGCTTTCCTTCCAAGGAGTAAGCGTCTTTTAATTTTGTGACCACAGTCACCATCTGCAGTGATTTTGGAGCCCCCAAAAATAAAGTCTGCCACTGTTTCCACTGTTTCTCCATCTATTTGCCTTGAAGTGATGGGACCGGATGCCATGATTAGTTTTCTGAATGTTGAGCTTTAAGCCAACTTTTTCACTCTCTTTCACTTTTCTGAATGTTGAGCTTTAAGCCAACTTTTTCACTCTCCTCTTTCACTTTCATCAAGAGGTTCTTTAGTTCTTCACTTTCTGCCATAAGGGTGGTGTCACCTGCATATCTGACATTATTGATATTTCTCCCAGCAATCTTGATTCCAGCTTTAGCTTCCTCTAGCCCAGCGTTTCTCATGATGTACTCTGTATAAAAGTTAAATAAGCAGGGTGACAATATTCAGCCTTTATGTACTCATTTTTCTATTTGGAAACAGTCTGTTGTTCCATGTCCAGTTCTAACTGTTGCTTCCTGACCTGCATACAGATTTCTCAAAAGGCAGGTCAGGTAGTCTGGTATTCCCATCTCCTTCAGAATTTTCCACAGTATTGTGATCCACATAGTCAAAGGCTTTGGCATAGTCAATAAAGCAGAAATAGATGTTTTTCTGGAATTCTCTTGCTTTTTTGATGATCCAGCAGATGTTGGCAATTTGATCTCTGGTTCCTCTGCCTTTTCTATAGCCGGCTTGAACATCTGGAGGTTCACGGTTCACATATTACTGAAGCCTGGCTTGGAAAATTTCGTGCATTACTTTGCTAGCGTGTGAGATGAGTGCAATTATGTGGTAGTTTGAGCATTCTTTGGCATTGCCTTTGTCTGGGATTGGAATGAAAACTGACGTTTTCCAGTCCTGTGGCCACTGCTGAGTTTTCCAAATTTGCTGGCATATTGAGTGCAGGACTTTCATAGCATCATCTTTCAGGATTTGAAATACTTCAACTGGAATTCCATCACCTCCACTAGCTTTGTTTGTAGTGATGCTTCCTAAGGTCCACTTGACTGTTAGGTTGCATCTATTTTTTCAAAAACTATTTGAGAAAAAAACATAGTTAACCGATCTAATTAACAAAGGAATTAACTTATACCAAAACCCACTATTTAAATCAGAGGTTGGTAAACTTTCTTTTTTTTTTTTTCCATTTATTTTTATTGAGAGGCTGGTAAACTTTCTGAAAGGGCCAGATAATAAATATATTAATAGCACAAAAGCATGCATGCACGCTCAATTCCAAAGTTGTGTCCAACTCTTTGGGACACAAAGATTTGGATTGACTGTAGCCTGCCAGCCTCCTCTGTCAATGGGATTTTCCAGGCAAGAATACTAGAGTGTGTTGCCATTTTCTACTCCAGGGGATCTTCCCAGCCCAGCGATCAAACACACATCTCTGGGTCTCCTGTGTTGGCAGGCAGATTCTTTACCACTAGCGCCACCTGGAGGGCTTCCCTTCCTGGTAGCTCAGAGGGTAAAGAATCTGCCTGCAGTTCCATGGACAGTCTTTGGGTCGCAAAGAGCAGGACATGACTGAATGACTAGGCACACACAGTGCCCCCTGGGAAGCACGTCCAGTCTTATGGGTGTCATTCAAATGCTGATTTTTATCTCTAAGCTACTGTGACTCAGAGTCAGTGAGAAATGTGCTTTATTTGGATTTTGCATGAGTGATGAGAGATTTATACTGGCCATTTGAGTTTTTAACCAATGTCATCCATTTAAAGAAAATACTTATTATTTTGTTCTGTCACGTAGACACTCTGGGGCCATAGCATCTCAGGAGATGTGTCATCCTTCATGTTGTGAGTGTAATTTTTCAGGTCAATACTGACTTAGAGTTGGAGGTTGGCTTTCATGGAGGTCTCACTAACTTCAAAGGTGCAACAATTTTACTGTCTTCTAGCTGCCCTTATACCTCCTAACACTATCAGTCAACTGGTCAGTCATCTCTTTTCTGTAATCACAGGGAGGCAAGAAAGAAACCATTACCCAAAGAGCTTATGATCTGTGGGACTTAGAGGATAAGCTATGACATTCTGGAGATTCCTACAGAACCTACTCTGAGAGTATAGTAATAATGGCAAAGTGTTCCAAGTACATACATAGCTATTTAAAGCATGAGAGGAATGTATCTACATTTTATAAGCTATCCCCTTTTGAAGTTTCTTAGCAAGGCCAAAGAGTAAGTGGGGAATCGGGATTTGAATCTAGCCAGAGTCATCATGTGTGCTCTTAACACCAGGATGATGGAGTGTCTTCTTGCCCAAAGTAAAACAGAGTTAAACCCACTGATGTTTGGTTTCTGGCATTTCTGTCATTGCCAAGAGAAAGGCATATCGTGGGCAGCCTGTGGGTTTCCAAAGAGCAAAAGGCACATGGAGTAGACACAAACCTATAATCTAAATACAATCCTTCTCAATCTTCTCTGAAAACAGCTGAATGCCCAGAACTTGCCAGATGAATGAGAAATAAATTCTTCCTGTCATACACTGCTGAGTTTTGGGGTTGTCTGATATATGTATTTCTGTGAAAGCAGCTTACTGATAAACATCTGTGAATAATTTGTTGGTATTTACTGTTTCTAAAATAACTGATAATTATTTTCTTAAAAATACTTTTTTTTCATTCTTTATTTTTTCTTCCAAAGTATATAATATATATTTAACAGCACATAAGACACCACTTGAGCTTCCCTGGAGGCCAACAGGAAGTGTTTTCACATGTAAAAATTAAAAATTTAAACTTCCAAATCATCAATATTTTTTAAACATAATACAGACTTACAAATTGTTCAACATTAACCCATGACCCCACCCCTTGCACGAAAATCCACCCCAAATCCAGAAGTCACAGTTTCTTGTTCCTAAAAACGCCACAGCACTGAACTTGATCCTCACTTCAAGCTGATTGCTAATGAGGCTCCTGACAGAGATCCCCGGGGAGCAACAAAGGGCGGTCAGGGCTGCGGCTCTGATCTACCGGGGCGGCACAGCTGCACCTCTGAGGTCAGGTCCATGTAAGTCAGCCCCCACGCCAGAATCCTGGAAGGGTGAGCTGGCAGCTTCCCCAGTCTTTTCCTCTCGAAGGCTGTCCGATAAGCACCTGGGAATTGACTTTTCTTGGAAAAAGGGTGCTGGTAAAGCTGTCAGGGCCAAGGCAATAGTGAGAAGTTCGTTTCTCTGCTTTTTGGATGAACTGTGTAAAACTTTTCTCTTAAAAGACACATTGTTAAAAATATTACGAAAAAAGTGACTATAAAATCTGGAGGGCTGCCTTTTCCTCAATGGGTAAAGCTTGTGGGGTGGTGGGAAAAGAATGGAGGGCCCAGAATTGTAACTCTGCAGCAAAAAGATTAGATGGATGCCCTTCAAAACAGGTCACGTTTCCTAAGACGTCTTGCTGAAGTAGCAAGAGCGGAGGGTGACTGCATGAGCAAGAGGGGAGGGGCGCCAACTCCCGAGGGGGGGGTCCTACTGTGCGCCCCGCCCTACGCAAGACTGTCAGGTTTCAGGGCGGCCACCTCGGCCCCCAGGGCATCAGGACTCAGCCTCTGAGCCACAGCTGCTTTCCCGACTGACTTTGATCTGGAGAGATGGCAAGTTATCTAAATGGCTCTTCTTTTGGCGAGACTGTTCCTTCTCCTTAATCAGAGCCCCCCATGCCCTCTGCAGCTCCGAGTCATCGTCCTCTGTGCCTGGCGCCCTGTGATCCCCTTTCTTCATGTTCTTTTCTTTGGTCTTGGGTGCAGATCCTAAGCGAGTCCATAAACTACCTGACTTCTTCTCTCGAGTATCAGAGTAGAGGCCTTTAACATCCTGCCTGGGAACACCCAGCCTACTATGTACATCAGAAAAGGGCTCTCTCCGAACAACTGGATTACTATGAAAGCCTTTTCTGGAGAATATGGTCTTTTTCCTAATCGCTGGCGTATATCTGTTTTAGTGCTGCTGCCAGGTGGCCGTGGACGTGTGTGCTGACGTTTTTCATCTAACAAATGTCTGACATCTGCAAATTTCTCAGCTGGTAATTTGTTACCAATTCGGCTTTTTATATTGCTTGTGGATAAAGTATCTGCCCTCAATGGAGTTCCTGATAGTTTTCAACTGAGATTCCACCTCATCAGCATACATGGTCATTTTCATGCTCTTCTTTGGCGAAGGAGTGGAAATCATCTTCAGCTCTAGATCACAGTCCATCTCGTCAGAGTCTGAGCTGCTGGCACTGGACCGCCTGGGCACGCTCCGCTCCCGGGCCTGCCTGTGGGCCGCGGGCTCTTCGTGGCACTCCACCGACACTCTGTCCTCGGCATCCATGTCCTGATCCTCCTCCTCCTCCTCCTCAATAGGCTCCTCAGGAACGTGCACCAGTCCGGAATGTCGGTGTTTATAGGACGTCAGGCCAACGTCGCCCCCAATCAGGGCTCTCTTCTTAACAACATCCCGCTGAATGCGACGGGAATGGTATCTCCGCTTCCAAGAGTTACTAAGAATTCCTTTCATGCCTCCGTAATTTGGATTCCCATATTTCATGTAATACTGACTTCTCCTTGCTGCTCCAAGTTCCTTTTTGTCATCTTTTGTAGCAAATCTCATGAATAACCTATTTCCTTTAGCAAGTTTGTTAGCTGGACGAAGGTCGTTTCTTAGCAGAGACTCTTCTTCTACCTGCGACAACGTGTCCAACTCTACATCACTTGAGTTCTCCTCTTCAACTTCTCCTTCTTCAGCCTCATCATCATCAGAACTGTCTTCTGCTTGTCTTTTTTACTTTTCTCGGATGACTTGTCCTCATTGGCATCCTTGCTTCTTATCTTATCCAGGGCTGGCAGAGAACTCATATTGATAAGGGCTCTCGCAGCCGTCATTTCATCCAACCAAACCACATTACAGGAGGTATCATCCAACCACTCCATGTGAGCCGGAGGATATTCTTTAAAGACATCCTGGGTGCTCATCTCATCTACTCCACAAATGTAGATTGTCTCCAGTCTCACTTTGGGGATTGCTTTCTTCATCATGTCTCGGTCCAAGGCTACATTTCTTTGGGTGAGATTTACTTCTGATCGAAAATGGAAGCGCTTGGCTCGCTGTTCCTTCTTTTCAATCGCTTCCTTGGAGGTGACATCAATTCCGATTATGAAGCTGCCAGCCTTGTTTTCATATCTTCTGCTTGTGTCCTGGAAAAATCCATGGACAGAGGAGTCTGGCGGGCTGAAGTCCATGGGATTACATGACTGAGCATGTGTGCACGAGGGTGGAGGGAGATGGGTTGGTAGCAACAAACTGGTAGAACGGGATCAGTTCCTTCAGCGAGCGCCGAACCTGCACGACCTCCAGTTCACCCTCCTCCACCTCCATGGGCTCCGGTTCGCCTCGGTCCAAACCCGCTTCAGGCGACGGGAGCCCCAAGGCCGGTCCCGCCGGGGCCTCCGCCTTCACCGACACTCGCAGGCCGCGTACGGCCGCCATCGCCGCCCGCCGGCCGCACCACCGTTTTTTTTCATTCTTGAATAATTCTTTATTACTATTCAAAACTTCAGGACAGAAACTTAGGGTTAATATAATTCTAACTAAATTCCAAATCAGTTCTTAATGGTTCTAATTTGGCTCATTCGTCTATATTTCTTAGATTTTTTTTTCCCTTTCCTTTGTTGATTTGGACTTATTTATATCATGCTTTTCTTAGAAAAATTCTGCAAAGTAATCTTCAATGTTCTATCTTTGAACCTGACAAATAAGATATTCAGCAGAATACGAGGGAATGGTATTTTATCATACTGAATGGCTAGTTTGGTAGTTTCTTATTCTAGCATTGATTATTTTCCAAAATAAGGTCTTATATATTTTTTAAAAGAACAATTTCCAGTTCCATAGTAATCACACTAATTAGAATTTTACAAGTAGGTATATTTTTAGAATTTATTTTAATGACATTATAATAACCTGAAACTCATGGTGGACACTATTTCAGCTTAAATATCCTTGATCTGGAAAATAAACACTTCAGTGCATTATCTGCTGAGAAATAGTACTGTAATAACCTCAGGAATTATTAGAACATAGGTAGTTTGCTACCATGGGGTGGTTTCAGTACACACAAAAAATTGAATTCTAAATAATCTAAGAGCAAGACCACAGCATTAAAGTGTTGGCTAGGTAATATTTTGAATCTCAGAATTTGAGACCTAATTGTTTTCTAAGATAAATACAGACTCCCATTTATAAGTTTATCACATTGAAACTGTATTATTGTCTCAGATCATTAGGATACCTCAATGTGCCTTGGTCTCTATAAATAGTCTTACTTTGGTCATTCTTTAACAACTCAATGTTTACTCATAAGGCTAATAAAGCAAGTAATTCTAAGTGGTACTGTATGAGAGAAAGTGATAAAAACTGCTCTAAACCGGGTTGTTCTAAACTGAAAGCAATGAGATGACTTGTGAATACTTCTTTCTCTGCTACTTAACCCAGGCTTTGGCTGTTCTCTTTGTAGGAACACACCCTGAACCATACCTCAAGATTCCCATCATATAAATCTTCTCATAAAAATTAGCAACTTACTTTTGTGAAACCTCTAACAGCTCCACATGGTAAAGAATCTGCCTTCAATGGAGGAGACCTGGGTTTGATTCCTGGGTTGGGAAGATCCCGTGGAGAAGGAAATGGCAACCCACTCCAGTGTTCTTGCCTGGAGAATCCCATGGACAAAGGCGCTTGGCAGGCTACAGTTCACGGGGTCACAAGAATTGGACACTACTTAGCGACTAAGCCGCCAGCACCAACAGCCCCACACAGAGGTAAAGTCTTTGCCTTTCTGTTTCGCTTCCTGTTAGCCACTCTATTATTTTTTTAATTGGAGGATATTGCTTTATTAATAAATGCTGTGTTCGTTTCTGCTGTAAAACATTGTGAATCAGCCATGTGTATACATATACTCCCCCCCTCTTGAGCTTCCCTTTCACCATCCCATTCCACCCCTCTTGGTCATCACAGAGCACTAAACTGTTTGCTCTCTGCTATATTGCAGCTTCCCACTGGCTGTCTACTCTCCACATAGTCGTGTATATATGTCAGTGCTTCTTTCTCAGTTTGTCTCCAGCTCTCTTTCTGCCCCCACCCCATGCCCACAAGTTCATTCTTTACATCCATGCCTCATTAACTGCCTCTGTGTTACTCTTACCATCAGGTTGTGAACTGTTTGAGAAGACAGAGCATGACTCATGCTTTTACAGTATTGGGCACATTGTTGGTACCCAAGATATATCTGTAGAATTAAAGGATAATCTCAGACAGAACTAAATACAGGAATCTAGTTTTTCCCTTCTTTTACTCTTAACATTGGGAAGCTAAGTCACACATCCTAATTGAAAAATCTTTCTCAATCACATATGTTAGTGTCTTAACAGTTAAATATGTATGTATATATATATATATATATATATATATATATTTTTACTTCTAGTCTACTTGATATTAAGTTGACATGAGAAACTAAAATTTAGCTTTGTTTTTGGACACATGAATGTCTCATACACACTTAAAATTTTTCTTAATTACCTGGAGGACTTTCAGCTACAGGTTTTCCATACTTACTGAAGTATCTAATTGAATCGAAATACTGTTGTTCAGTGAGCTAAAATTAGGCTATCTTTGAAAACATTTTCAAAACCACAATACTAGTATCATAGTCCCACTTTTCTATCTCTTTATAACCTTTTCTAAACTATGCTTCTTGAAAATTTCTGCTTCCCACTTGCTTTTCATGCTTTGCCAAAATCATCCTAATTTCTGTTCCTCTTAGCAGTTTGAATTATTCTGGTTGACATAAACTATTACTTACTCCATTTTATGGAAGATTTAAATGTTGTTTGATATTGAATAGTAGTAAACTGAAGGTGGCAAAATTCAGCATTTTTTTCTCTAACAATCCTTTGTTATGACAGACATCATTCATCTAGTCCCACATTAAATAATTGCAATATGCAGTAATAAGAATTGGAAGGAGTTACATATACTGCACAGAACCTATGTCCCTACACAAGTAAACAGAGATGGATTGTTGAGGTGATCAGCTGACAGAAGATGAGTGATGAGAGGCCTCATGCTAACACTTTAGGAAGTCTCAGAATTAAGCTAATCAGTAAACTTAAAATTTTATTTTTGGCAATTGTGAAAGTTGAAGAAATCGAGTAATTCTGTGTTCAGATTTTCTTAAGGAAAACTCTTTGTGAACTTACTCTTGAGAAAGGACTGTCCATTTCTCTTGTAAGCCAATAAGCTGCTAACAGAGTTTTACAAGGGATTCAGGTGTTGCTGATGGTGAGAGCAAGTATTTCTTGGGAGATCCTGTTTACCGTTGTATCTGCAATTCAATATTTATTTTTATGACATCATGGTCCTTTACATAGATAAGTGTGGGTTTGGATGATATTAGGAGACAGATAGTTAATACAGCAAATAATGGAAAACAACGTCACTGAAGAAATATGCCTACATATTTTTAGCCATTGATATATGTTCTAGTGACCTGCAAATAAATCACTGGGACAAGAATGGAACAAATGGCCATGACATTCCTATGCTTGTGTGGTGCCGTGTCTGAACATGTCTGATCCAGTGCCACAGGAGTCATTACACATGTCTGCACTGCTTTATGTCACAAGCCAAGTATTCTGCCTTCTTTCACCAATCACAGTGTGATATCTGCACTTTGAGATATTTTGCATTTGTGAATACTTGATAAAGTCCAGATGATTTAGTCCTTTCATAGAAAAAGAAGATTTGATAGTTTTTCTCTTAAAAAATCAATTCAGGTGAAAAGAGTCCAATTTAAAGAAAAGGATTTAACTGATATGTTAAAAACATAATCACCTGTTTCTTTAGTTTTGTGTTTAGGTAATGATGGGAATCATTTAACAGCCAAAATTGCAAAGAAAAGATGATGCTGATTTTTAAATTTTGAGATATATACTTTTGTTCAACCAAGTAATTTTACCACATAAGAAGAAGTGAGCTATAGATCCTAAAGACACAAATTGAGGCTTTAACATCAGAGGACAATGCAAAGTTAATTTACTTGACTGCCCCTCAAAAGAAAAATTTTAATCTAGTCTTAGCAGATTGAATAGCATTGTATCACAACAATTTATCTCACTTTGAGTAAGTATTAAATTTACCTAGACATTGGGAGGTTTTAAAAATGTACTATCTTTAAATAACTATGTAATTATTTTCATCATCATTTAACTATAGTTTGGGGGAAATTGTAAAATGTTATTTCCAGTATTCAGTTCATTGAAAGGATGTATGACATATGTAAGCTTATTTTTTCAGTGTAATATTGAACTGGTATCTGCTAAGGCTTCTACAAAGTGATAATCTATTAGATATTAAATAACTTCTTAGACAAATCATTTTTTACCTTATTCTTGTTTAAAACTTGATGACATCATGAACTCATTGAGGGAATTGGTTATCTGTCATTATCACTCTTATGAAACTAAACTGAGACAGCAAAATGACACATTTCTCTAAGAGAATTCTAGATCCTGTTACCTGTTAAAATTACTCTTTCCTTCTTCATATTTGCCTTAGAAATTTGCAGATAGAAGTTGGGAATTCAAGCAAATATGTACTCCTAATTATGATCCTCCTAAATTCTGTCATTCTCCTGCATTGACAACGTGCGTGGGAATTGGCTCTAGAGGTTGATAAATTTGGACACAGATATTACTTTTTTTTAATTTTTATTTTATTGGAGTATAGTCAATTAACGTTGTTGTTAATTGTAACTAATCAGGTATATAGCCAAATGAACCACTTACATGTATACATGTATCTATTCTTTTTCAAGTTAATTTCCTATTTAGATAATTACAGAATATTGAGTACTAGATCATTGTTATTTATTTTAAATATAGAAGTATGTACATGTCAATCCCAAACTCCCAATGTGTCACTACCCTCATCTTCCATGCCTGGTCACCATAAGTTCATTCTCTAAGTCTGTGAGTCTGTTTCTGTTTTGTAGAGTTCCTTTATATCATTTTTTTTAGATTCCACATATACATGATGTCATATGACATTTGTCTTCCTCTGTCTGATTTAATTTACTTAGTATGATAATCTCCAGGTCCATCCATGTTACTGCAAGTGACATTGGTGGTTTAGTCGCTAAGTCATATCTGACTCTTGTGAACCCATGGAATGTAGCCTGCCAGGCTTCTCTGTCCATGGGATTTCCCAGGCAAGAATACTGGAGTGGGATGCCATTTTCCTTCTCCAAGGGATCTTCTCAACCCAGGAATCGGACCCACATCTCCTACATTGCAGGCAATCTCATGCATTACAAACTGATTCTTTACTGACTGAGCCACTAGAGAAGCCCCTGTAAATGACATTATTTCACTCTTTTAATGACCAAGTAATAGTCCATCGTGTATATGTACCACATCTTTATCCATTCT